AGGGAATACGTTATTTCACTTTTGGTGCCCTTTCTTAAAGCAACTGCGTCAGTGTGGTTTCTTCTCTGATCATCTACCTGCTGGTTTTTTCTGCTTCTTGAGGATGGGAGGAGGGTGGGGGTCCTCAAGTAAGTAAGGAGAACTGGGAACAAAGTAAAGGGGTGGATGGAGACCTTGGTTTTACTGATGTGGGGATGCAGGGCACATTTTTAAGAAACATGGTTTTGTTTGTTCTACTCTTTCAATATCCCTTTCTATTTGGATGAGCAGCAGTGAAGATTTTTTCCTCTGTTTAAATTATCAGATTTCCTGTCAGTCTGTGTCTGGCTTGTGACTTTTTCAGTGGGTTTATTTAACTTTTTTTTTTTTTTCTCTGAGGGCCCTGGAAATTTTCCAACACTGGTAACAGCAGAGCTGAGGAGATTTGTAGTGTTCCTCCATTTCTCTTTCTAGTCAATATGGTCTGCAAGGTTTTGCTGTTTCCCTGTTGCTGGTCTGGGCATGTGAGGAGCAGAGTCCTGTGTTTTGAGTTACTAGCCCAGGACCTAATACTGCTCATGTGTATCCCAGACTTCGCATACCTCAGTCCTGCATCTGTCAAATGAAGTGATCTTGGAGAAGAGAGGAGTTAGGATAATTTGAGATTTTTACATCTGAGGTACTTCTGTGCTGCTGTGAGGAATAGGTATGCTGAAGGCAAGCAGAGCAGTGATGCCACGGACACAGCATTCAGGAGTGAGTTGAATTAGTTTTATTTCAACGGACTTTGAAATGGTGAGGAGGGGTGATGTCACAACAGTGTAAAGTGTAACTTTATTTGTAAGAGGTTCTTTGAAAAAGTTTAACTATCTAAAGCTAGAAAGGGCTAATATGTTTTCAGGTGGCTAATCTACTAAACTACGTGTTCATGTCTTCAGATGTAGTGTAAGATGTGTTAAGTTTAAGATGAAACTCCACCATATCTGCTGTCGTCAGCTGAAAACTATATATTCATACCCTTTATCCAGTTTTAATTAAGTTGTCTCGAAATAAGACCTGTATTCTAGTGTAGCTTCTGTCAGGTACAAGAAAAAATTTGAGGCGATACTGAGGGGCTGGAATAAGATGTAGAGCAATGTCAACAGCTCCTTCCTTTTATTCTTGCAGTATGGAACTTAAAGACTGAAAAGTGTTCCTTTGTAGCAAGGTTTGTTTTTCTAATGTTTGGACGGGTACTCAGCTTCTTTCTAGTGACAAAAAAATTTCTATGGTCTCAAAGGCTAAATAGCCCATATGGGACACACTGAAAGTACAGTAGAATTGGGAAGTTGAGGCAATGATGGTACATCCCTAAGGTAGTAAAAGAAAAAGTTTAGGAAGGGCACACAAAAATACACAGTAAACTGGGAGCTGATTGATTGTTTCATCATATTCTTTAATGTTTTGAAACAATGGACCTCCAGTGTCCTGGAGGCTGATCTCTTCCCTGCTGATCCCTACAGCTGGGTTCTTGTGTGATCTTGGGTAAATCATACAGTCTTTTCATGTCTCCACTGTTGAGCTTAAAGAAAAAAATCTCTTATAGGACTCTTGTTGGAAGAAAATACTAATAAATAAATCAAGGTGCTCAGATACTCTGGAGGTGTGTGTGTGTAACAGCATTACATTAACCGTGCTTTCTAGCATTGATCTGTAACCTGAGCCAGTGTGGGTTTAAAATGGTGGCTGCAAGCCAGTACATTCACCTTGTAATTTTTGAACTCAATCAATAAGATTGTTTAACTCTCCATTGATCAAAAATTGATTGTTTTGGGAGCCACCATCTTTTTCAGACACTTTCCAATTACTTCAATTCTAAAAGGATATCCAGTTCATCCATAAGCTATTAATGAAGTTTATGACCCATGTTATTTAAGAAGTCTGTGTAGATGGCCGGAAGAGCTTTAAAATGAATTAAATGGAGATCTAATTTGGGTAAAGGAGGTGCTGCAATATTAACTTTTTGTTTTTTCTTGTACAGCTATTGGCGAATATGAAGAGCTTAGAAAAGAAAATAAGAAAACGAAAGAAGAGGTTTGTATCTATTGACTATTTCTTTTTTACTAAAATGGCAAATATCAGAATATTTTATTGACTCTGGCAGGTTGTTTGCTTTTGTGAGCTCAGCTGATTTTTCACCTGTCATACTTGCACCTATATGTATTAAAGGAGTAGTGAATGCAACTATTCTTGCTGTCCCTCTCCTGAAGGGTTGCTATGAAGCTGTATGTATTTTTAAATAATTGCTTCTATAGCCAGTTTGCATATGATTACAGTGTCAACATAGACCAACTGAAGTGTTTAGATGTTCTTAGGAAAATTTGTTTCTCTTGGATCTAAGCCTTGCTGTATTACAACTTGATTTGCACGGTGGGACTCACTGAAAAGAAAATAGAACAACTCCCCACACCCAGCCCTTCTGAAAATCCGGAATGTGGGGCTAGGATTTCTGAAGATATTTGAAGTCTTCCCCACCCTCATACCCCTGAAAAAAGCAACTCAGTTTTTAATAGGAGAGCAAGATGTCTTGTCTTGACTTGCAGAATGGTACTGCAGCATAGAACTGATTCACAGCATGTCAGACACCCTTCTGTGGAAGCTGTGTGCGGTCCAACTTGACAAGAAGCTTTGAATATATGGACTGAACTTAATACATTACTGCAGGCTTTGTTTTTTTAATGTTCAGAGATGCTGGAGTAAGAAATAATAACCACTTCCTAGATTTTTCATTGTAATCATGACGAACTGTCCGTCTGGTAGCAAAAATAAGAACATTTGCTAAGGTATCTCTTCCTACCCCAGACTCTTGTTCATTCAACACACCTGCTGTCTGCAAGGAAGCCGACAGGAACAGAGCACAGAGAGATTTGGTGGCAGTGTAGTGCTGCATAAATCCATGTCAGTGAGCAAAGGTTTTTAGCAGGTATCTGCCAAAAGAAACTGTGGCCAATAGAAGCCTCTCTTCAGTTCTAGATATCAAAGAAGGTAGGAGTCAGTGTTAACACTGTACTGTGTACAGAAAATTCTCCTTTCTCCATTATTAGTGAGCTGAAGATGCAAGTTTTCAAATCCCTGCTTGCTGCCAAGCCACGTAGGTTTAATTTATCTTTTCTTGATTGGTGACTTTTAATCCAGTTATTACAAACATTCAGTTCAAGGCTGTCTTTAGCTACTTTCTCATTATTAAAGAAAACTTGAAGCTTATCTTTATATTATGCTTCAGCAGTGATGGTGTGTATTTCCACTGAGCTCAGCATATCATACTTCGCTCCCTCCTACCCACTGACCTTCTTGTCTTTTTTTACTATGCTCGTTGCTGCATTCCCGTTCTGCTGTCTTACGCCTCAGCCTCAGGTACCGGGAAAATCTGTCCTCTTTTGTTGCTGTTTGGAAGACTGTGGCGGTTCGCTGCCTAGTACTCAGAAGAAAAGGAGAATGAAATTAAATGAAATGAACGGAACAAAATGAATGAAATGAAATTAAATGAATGAAGTGAAATGAAATGAATGAAGTGAAGGGAAGGAATGAAAGGAGTTAGACTAAGAGTCCATCTGCCAGAGTATCCTGTCTCTTACAGCAACAGAAAGGGAGGAGTGTAAGAGCATGAGTACTCGTATGGTCTCTAAACCACTTGCAGCCTGGGGACTTCCTCAGCTGCACGAGAAGTGGGCTCCCCATCTTTGCCTTGAACCCAAGTCCTGCTAGCTTTGGTATTTCTTCAATAAAGCTTTGTTTAGGTTAGGGCAGGGAGGTGGGGAATGAGGAGGCTATTCTTGAACTGCATTTTTATTTAGGAAATGTTTTTCTTCAAAGGCAATTCCAGTGAAAAGTTTTGTCACCAAAATCGAGATGAGATGTCCTGAGGTTGCTTCTTGCATTCTGTTCTTCTTTCTTCCCTGCTCCTTTCTCACAAGATTTCTTTCCTATAACTCTGCATATCTCTAGCCACTCCTGTGCGTTTCTTCTGAAGGCTGGTATGATGTTTTTCAGAATTCTTGCATAACAACTGAAAACCCTTCAACCCTGAGCACGTGTTTAACTAATTTGCCCGTCTGGGGATTTATCCACATTAAGCACGTGCTTGGGGTTGGAGGATTTTCAGTTGTTATGCAAGTATTCTCAATTCAAGACCCTCCATCCTGCAAATTTGTGTGCTTGTGTAAGCAGTCCTGCTTAATTGTTTAAGTGCTTGGACTCAAGTGGTTAAGTGTGAGGCCCTAAGTGCATTTCTTCTACAAAAAAAAAAAAAAAAAGAACCTACTGTTACAGAGTTCATGGTTATGTTTGCTTACAGTGCAAATACCGGAAGAAACTATTCCTCATGTTACTGCAGAGCTGGGTAAGGCTGAAAGCTTGTTAGTGTCTCTCTAACTTTGTGTATTAGTTTATGCTTTACGGGATCGAACCTGATATTGGAGGAAGTATAGCACAGGCTGTATCTCTGCCTGTGGCTCTGGGAAGTCGTGGGTACCCAGTTTCTGTTCCAGTTTCTACCACTATCTGTCAGTATGAGTGTAAGCAAATGGCTTTCTCTGTGTCGGTTGTGGTCACATAATTACATCAATAGGAGGAAGAGAATAGAGAATTAATTTTTTTAGAAAAAGACTTGCAGACTATTTGTGGAAAGTGCCACGTGGGAGTTAGATGGCAGGCTGATGCACTTGGAAATTTTTTCTGAGTCACCACTACATTTGTATGGCTCTGAAAGGTGAGGTGTGTCATGGAGAAATGATCCTAGTTTACATTAGAAACTTGGAACTTGGTGCATAATGGGCAGCTAACTTAAAATAAGATGTAAATTTAATTTTGGAAAATTTATGCTCTTTTTTCCATGTTCTTTTTTAAGATTATGAAGTAAATTGGCTTTTACATAGGTTACTTTGTTCAAAGCACTCCTGCTTAAAAGGATGCTAATAACCATGAAAATGCAGCAGCAAAATGAGGATCTTTGATCTGCAGTCCCTCTTCCTCATTGCCTTGCTAAACTGCCAATTTGGAGACCTCTGGTGAGGTCTGACAAAATTGGTGTTGGAATATTTTTGTATCAGTATTTTTAAGTGCTTTCAAAAACCGGAGCAAAAATGACATTGGCAGATTACTTTTCTTAGGAAATCCATTTAATTGAAGTAGCCAACGGAACATGCATACCAGTCCCCCAAGAACAGGCAACTAACGTTCAGTTGCACACAGCGTAGATAACTTAGTATGCAGTTCTGACGTGTTCCGAGTCAGATCATGAATAAATATTTGACTACTTGCTAATCAGACAGGAATGACACTGAACACTGGTTTTGACAGTGTTTTGTCATGCTGCCAGCAGGAAGAAGAAAAAAGAAAGCAAGATAGCTTTCCAAAACAGTAGGTGTAATACTGCATCTCTGTTATATCATTCATGGTGTTTGCTCTGTTAAGGCACATGTATAGAGTGGATTACATGTTTTGTCACCAAATGGGAATGGAGAAGGGATTCTGCCGTGATGACATGCTCGTTCTTCCTGAAAGTAGAGTATAGCAAATGTCAGAGGATACTTTTGAGTACTGTACCAAACTCATAATTTTAGAAAAGCATTAAATCTGCATAAATTTCACAATCTCTGTAAATGAAAGAGAATGTATCGTGTGTTGCTTAGCAATGGCTTAATTGACTATATGGCTACTATGTGAACTTCTTGCATCTTAATATCAGGGCTGAACAATCTCTTCCTTGTTTTTGTCCTTTGAAGGCCTTTTACTGAAGTCAGTAGGAGCTTATGTTGGCAAAAAAGAAGCCTGTTAGAAGAGAATAGACAAGAAACCCAGGCCTCCCTGGAATTAATGGAAGAGAGTCATTAGGCTGGTGGGAGTGGGCGTAGTCCGCAGGCTTCCAAGTGGTTGTGTGTGTCGACTTCCCAACGTCACTTTGTAGTGTCAAGTTCCCATGATGGCACGGGACTGTGCTGGCATTGCAGTAGCTGCAAGCACAGGCCAAGTTCATGTTCTGCTGTTCACCTTGCTGACAGGCAGTGTTTGGTTCGAACACTGATCTTTGACATGCACGTGATTTACTTGTAAGTAGTCGGCACCTCTGTTCTCCACCACCAGTTCTCTGGGCTAGCAATAAAGTATCGCCTCGTATCTTGTGTACCTAGAAGGCAAGACTGAGAGGAGAAAGCAAAGCTCCTCGACTTGCTACTGCAATGATGAAGAGTCTTAAGGAGTTACTCACAAAATGAATTTTGGAAACTAAACTGTTACTTGTTTCTAAAAATACAGATGCAATGTCTTTTTATTGCCAAGAAATTATCTTTGGCTCTTGTAGCTAGTTCAGGACTGGAATGGGAATATTGTCTATTACCTCTCATTTTCATTGGGATAACGATGCTATAAATATTAAAAATATAGTAAATAAAATGGTATAAGTGCTTATATTCCTTTACAGAAAAGTGGGAACTTTTAACAAAATAAAGGTAAAAACAGCAAAATGACCAACAATCCAGGAGTCCACTTTATTTTTTCGACAATCCGCTTTTTTCCATTTGAGGGTATTCCTGAATATGGAGCTATCTGTTAATGCTGACAAGGGGAGACAGTAAATACTTGAAAACTCATTCTCCTAAGCAGTAGCATGTCCTTGAATGTGAAAAGTGAACAGTGGATTTTATGCTATTTGCCTTTTAGCATTTAGGGTTAGTGATGTTCTTGTCAATTAACAATTCTGCTGTATATGCCTCAAATTGCTTTTTCTGACAAGTGAAGTGGTTGTGAATTTTGAAGACTTCTGTGCAGCTTTTTAAGTGCAGCCAACACTTCTAAATTTTGATATTTTTAAACTTCCCTGTTTGAAAGGTAAGGTCAGTTTATTTTAAGGGATGACAGTGTTGTTTATTATGAAATATAATTGCTTTACATGAATATTTCCTTTGCATAACTTTACAGTTTGAAACAATACAGGGAGTTAAAGACAATCTCAACTTTTTCTAATTCTTAGCTAAATTAGAGATAAACTAGGGTGTTTTTTTTGTGGTAGGACTTGTAGCAGCTCTGCTTGCACGGGTTTGATTGCAAGACAAAAGGCAAAGTGCTTTGCATTGATCATTTCAGCAAGACAACAATCTCCCGCTCTCCTTTTCTTCCTGCTCTTTCATTCTGAAGCACAGTAGCAGTGAAAAGAAAATATTCAGAAAGCTGCAACGGGGAGCAGGAATTGCTCTGCAGAGACCCAAACCTATGGACCCTGATTGTGCAGAGAAACACGTGTAGCTATCAGGAGAATAGTCAGCTTGCCATGGTCCAAATGGAGCACTCTCTGCAAACAGTACTCCAGGTGGAGTGGGATAGGTCACTTCCCCTTTCACTGCTCAGGGAATGCTGTTATGCCTTACAGCATGTTGCTGGAGGATTTCAGAAGGAGTTTTTCCTGTCATTGGGATAGGGAGTGTACTGCATCCTCTACATCAAGGTTTCCATCAGTAGGAAAGTGTCTTGTTGACTTCCACCAGCAACAGATCAGGTCCTTAATCTTCCTGATTTTTAAACTGAGCATTGTAAGCACTTGCTCACTTAATGTGCAGTGGGCTGAAAGCTTGCAGCACGCAGAGAAATCCGTGGGTGAAGTATGCCAGTGTGGTTACAGTGTCTCTCTTGTAAAATACAGAGAGGCAGCAGCTCACGCTGATTCCCCTTTCGCAGTGGAGCTGTGCTCTGCAGGAACAATCCGAGATACTTTCTTTCTGCGTCTTTTACTGCCTTGGGTGCTTAAGACTGCACTTCTGCCAGTTAAGGTAAGGCAAATTTTTGCTGAGGAACTGTGAGGGAGGACAGCAAGCAGCCAGATTCATGAACAGATTTCCCTTCCCCACCTCTCCTGTGCAAGACTCTCTGAACAGCTTCTTTGTTAACAGGGCCAGATGAAACTGAGTCCGCGTCCCGTGCCGCTTGCTCAGCACATCTTGCTCCTTCTGCAGCCCTTCCTTCTTTCACAGGCCTGTACAACAGCTGGTGACTGACCTGTCCCCCCTACTCACCTGCTCTCCCTTGCCTCGTCACCCTAGTGCCACGAGAAGCGGGATTGCTTGTTGAGTGCAGCTCCTTTTGCTCCCACACATAGCCATCAGCAGCGGCTCCCAAAGCTTGCGTGGAGGCTGCCGCTGCGGCGACATCGATGGCATTCTCTCCTAGCCGAGGAGCAGGTCCTTCTTTGGGCCTCATCCAAGGTCCTCTGGAGCTGAGAGAAGCGCTCTCTTGAATTTGGCTGCCTTGGAATCGGGCTCTCCCCCCTTCTTGTTACCTAACAGCAGGCTCCTTTCCCAGCTAACTCAAAGTGGATCCTCACGTGGAAAAACTGAAAATCGAGCAAAATCATTTATTTTTTTCCCCAGTTTTGTTCCAGTGACTGGTTTCCTTGCTGTTGCAGCTACGCTGTAAGGAGCTCAGTCACACAGATCTCTTCCAGAAGTTAACGCATGGTCTTAGGCTGATTTATTACTGTGAGCATACACAGGCACATGTGAGGAAGGATGTCTGGTGTACGCTGTGTGCGTAAGACCCGTTGTGGGCCAGTCATGCTTCCCCCCGGGTCATGTGTTTTTCACAGTGTGGTTAATCACTGACTGTGTCTCTTGTGAAGTTTACTCATTTAGTTGAGTTCTTTCCTTTGCTTACAGAAGGGGTTTTCTTAGAGAATTCTATTTAATGTCTGTTTTATTCTTTCTCTTTGAAGAAACCTTTCCATCCTAGATCAGTGAGTGCAGCCCTGGGTAGTATTAGCATTAACCCCCACGTTAATAAAACTGGACTGATGGGAAATCTTTAAAGTGTGAAATGAGTGTCCTCCCCTGTTCAAGGCTGAAGCTTTGCTCATGATGTTAGGAAACTGAACATGTCCCTGTTTATTGGCTTTGAGTTTTTCCTTGCACATGGTAGGTGCAGAAATGTAGGCCTCTCTTCCAAGTCTATTTGTGTTAAAGAAACTAGAATTAAAGCGTATTCTTGACATGCCAAGTATTGCTTTTACTCTTGTGTGGAACATGGGTGACTGTTTATATGGGTTTTGGATAATGTGGCTCTTCAAAAATATCTTCAGAGTAGCTCTGTATTGGAACCTAAAATCAAGTGCAGTTTGCCAGTTTGGTTAGGAAATACTCTGGGTAATTAATGTTTTATGCATAGTTTGCATTGATCTTACATGCCTGAGAGCAAAAAGAAATGGTGCTTTGATAGGCTTCTGTACGTTACTGTGCTGGTAATTGATCTTTGTTGATTTTGCATGTTGTGACTCTGCTAATTAAATGACTGAGATCAGTGTTTCATTTTCTCTTCTCCTACAGTGTGACAAATTCAAGCAAGAACGAGATGAGGCTGTCAAAAAACTGGAGGAGTTTCAGAAAAGTAAGTTGATAATGTTATTGGGAATTTTTTGGTATGGAGAGTTATAAGCATCACTCTGCATACTCTGCAGCAGTGTTAAGAGTGCTGAGATTCAAGTCCATTTGCTCTTTCTCCTTCAGACCTTGTTTTATGGAGTTAATCCAGTGAGGCTTTGACCATTGTCAGACTAACCGCTGTCACAGCATCCACATGGTGCAAAGGGGTGAAAATACAGTGGTACAAATGTAGGTCTATCTCACCTGGATTCTGCAAGTGACTTTTAGTATGATATATGCTTGGATTGAGTGAGATTTGACCCTATTGCTCAGTTTACCATTATTATAATATTATTACTAGATTTTTCATAAAAAAGGAGTAAAATGACTTTAAGCACAGACACACCAATAAAGGTTTTTAGGATGAACTGCTGTGTCTTGATAACTTTTAGAGCAAGTTCAGTCTTGTCTGGGCTGTGAGAATGTCAATATTCAGTTTTACACTTCTATGGTGGTGGTTCTATTGAAACTGTATGGTGTCTGGAAGCAACAAAGCACATCTAATGGGAGTGGAAGTATCCTAGTGAAATAGCTCCATAGAGGAGACAATTACAATAGGATTGTGGGCTGTTACATCTCGTTTGTGCCAATATGGTGAACTGCACCACGAAGAATCAGAAACGTGGATGAAGTTAAGGCAAGAGAAGGAAATCACATAGTCTGTAATTTTGTGTGACTGTGTTAATAGAGGAATTTTCTCACTACTGTTTTATAATTGTACATATGATGCTATTATGAAAAAGACTCCAAAATCAACAGGAATCATCTATCGCCTTACATCATCTTAGCTCTTCCCTCAGGCAAGAATGTTCTCCAAGAAGTCTAATTCCTCTGGAAAAAAAATGCAGCCTGTTCTGTTTTTGTTATGATACAAGGAATACCAGAGTGTGGCAGAAAATGTCAAGTACTTAAGACTTAAAATTTGAAGTAATATTTGATGTTGTAAAATTTTATAGGTTTCTTTTATCTATCTTTCACATTTTTAAAGGACATACCTTGTAAACATAGTGATAAAATGCCAGGAATATTAGGATTTTAAGGCAATAATAGAGCCCATTATTTAAACGACAATATAAAAGGCAATTATATTGATGAAGAGCTACATCGGCTTTGTGTCTGTGAATAAACTTGGCCTGTACTCAGCTTCTATTTGTTCTCCTGGCATAAACACATATTGTGTGTGATTCCAGTTTAATGGGGCCCCGTTTGTATGCCAAGCAGCTGCATTTTAGGCCCTATTGCGTGATTTCATAGCTCTCTGAAAATTGGTTCTATTGAGCACAAGAGATAGAAGGTGGTGGTGGGGGGGAAAGCTTCAACACACAATCATTTCTTTTCAATTGGAGCCAGCAAGGTTGATGACAACATGACCATTGTGTTATAATGATAAGACCACTAAGGATCTGTACCTCTCATCAAGGCTTTCACACAACAGCAGATACAATTTAATTCACTGCTCTGTCAGCAGTGCTGATACCATTATGCCGTCTGTCTCCACAGTTATAATCACTGTCCTCCGAGAAATGCAGTTGAAATGATCTTGAGCAGTCAAAGAAACTCTCAATTAAGGCTGCCACTTCCAATGTGTCAGATTGTGTCTTATGCACTTGGTACAATTTTCACCTCCAATCCTGTTTATTTACAATGTCTACCAGTAATTACGCTTAACATGTCATTTAGTGAGGGTGCCCCTGCCAAGGAGATTGTTGGGTGCTGCAGTACCATTGAGTGGGAGTTTCTCGCAGTCAATGCCATCAGCGGCTTTTAGTCCCTGATGGGATGCAGTAGTAATGTTGATAATGCAAGTATCGTGCTCATCAAGTCATAATTAGATGCCACTCAAATGTGCCACTTGTAATAACAGTGTTGATTCATGTTTTCTCGGTGACTGCAACTACTAATTAGTTAAGTGGTTTTTGGTTGGCCTGCATTTGCTGCGGATTATTATTACCCCTGAAAAAAACTGTCAAGGTTAGAGATGTTTCAGGCCACTTAGTGCTGCTTTATGAATTTTAATATTGACATAATAAGAACTTTGGACAGACTTAGGAAATAATATATTTTTGTATTTAATTTGGAAAGATTTTTTTCCCCTGAGTTAATCATAATTGCGGGTTAATTAAGTTTAAATGAACCAAGAGTAATCCCTAGTTCTGCCATGTGAGCCCAATCCTTGTTTCCTAACTTTAGCTTTGCTTGAGGCCATTAGATTCCTGTCTGTAAACTGGGAGCAGCTCTGTATCTCCACTGCTCCCTCATCCTGCCCAAAGCATTTAATTGCTCCAGACTCCCAGAGCCTGGTAGAATAAAACCAGAAGAGATATGGCCGTGTACTACCTGAAGCTTTTCCTCTCAAATTTAAATATAGCGGCTGGTACAGCACGCTTGGAATACATAATTTCTCCAAAGTCAGAAAAAAATGGAAATAAAAAGACAACCAAAGAAAGAGGTGAGGTTGCTGTGCTGTTAAAAGATTTCATGTGAATATAGTTTTTGGACCAAGATTTCCAGTACTCTGCCCTGCTCTTTTTTTTTGGCTGCTCATATTTTGTAGAACTTTTCTTGCGTGCAGCTACTGATTTGACAGCAAACTCCAATGTTTTGGTGGTTTTCTGCATTATTAATGAAAAAATCAGTTAATATTGAATAAGTATCTATAAAGGTGCTTAAATAACACTTGTTAATAGCCTGCTTTTTCCTATCCAAAAGTCCTGTTTTGTAGTCATTGAGGTGACCTCCGGATATCAGAGGACTCGAATCTCTCTTCAGTATTTAGGCAAGTCTTGGAAGAAGCCAAGTGGGACTTTCTGCCCACTGGTATGAAATCACTAGTTTTTAAAGTTTATCTTCACAAAAATAGAAGGAGATACTAGAAAAAGTCCTCCAAGTCTTCCAGCTTTGTTCCTGCTCCAAAGTATTGTTGGGCTGCAAATAGCCCTTTCTGCACTTTGAAATCCTGACACTGGGCTGGAAAGGAATGTGCACCAACAAGTGACTTGCAGAATTAGGGTCCAGGCTGCTGCTTAGGATCAGTTAGAGGTGCCAGGAGCCAAAGAGGAGTTGCGTCAAGGTGCTAGTGCGGGAAATGGGAAACTGTTGTTGGGTTTCATGCTTTGCTCCAGATGCCCTGTGTGACTTGAAGCTTGTCACTTAGAGAATGACTTTCAGCACTAGTTAAGTACCTACCTACTGCTGGAAGTTGAGAGGAATTGCAAACCGGAGTGCATCCATGCTCCTCAATGCCCTCTAACTTACGTTGGTATCCTGTGTTACAAAGTAAGATTTGTTCCATAACTCCTTGGTCAGAAGAAGGAACTGTGCTGTGCTAATGCTTTGACTTCCGTGGAGTCTGTGCTGTAGGAGGCTTTGGTCACTTAACTCCTTTCTCCATTTCCACTTGCCCCAGGCCTGTGCTGCAGCTCTTCATGTGCAGTGTGTTTAGCAACTGTGGTGATACTTAAAATACCATATAAACCTGAAGACACGAAGGTTGAAAATAATCTTTGTAAGACATCTGAGTTAGTCTTGCTCCTTAAAAATATTGGGGTTCCAGTCTTCTAGGGTGCATACCAAATTTTCAAGACGATTCTGATGGCAATCTGAAGGGAAAGTCCTAGTGGTCTGAGTCTGATTCCTCAAGTCTTAATGAAATAAAGATGGTGAATGACAATGGTCAGGGAGGCTCCTGCTGGCCTTCTGCTTCCATAAGTTCATCCCCAGGTCTCCAGTTCCCCCTTCAAAGCTGCCGACATGGCTTGAGAGAGTTGCCTAAAGCAACGAACCAGATATTCAGTGTCTAAACCAGTTTCTGTCCGTGGAGATTATCTAGGTACATACTTCTCTGTATTTGAAATGCTTATGTAGAAAGTTAACAGGAAAAGATGTAATTTTTCTGATCATGGGATGCATGTGTCAAATGCGGGAAAATACTGAGTAATTTTTAAACTCTTCCTCTAGTTTCTCACATGGTTATTGAGGAAGTAAACTGTATTCAGAACCATCTTGAAATTGAGAAGACGTGCCGTGAAAGTGCTGAGGCTTTGGCTTCTAAGGTGAGATGAATTTTGGTGATTTCGTGTCATGTGATTTATTTTTCTTTTTTGTTGAGATTGTATATATGTCCCGTGTATGTTTTCGTATAATCTTGTGGATCTGTGAACTTGTTTTCAAGTGGCAAAAACCATAAGCCATGTGTGACATGCAAAATACAATGCCTTCCTTTAAAGAAAAAAACACCCATTTTAATTTAGTTTCTATTTTGGAACAGTAAGTCATGGACCAGCATCTTGATAGCTAATTTTTATATGCATTTAGGTTAAATGGAAAACAAGTTTTAGAACTGTCCTGTGTGAGATATAAAACAATAATGAGCATTTCAGTGTCTAAATCAAATGGAAAAAGTCAACCACTGCATTACATTTCAGGTGATTGTTTATGAAAGCAAAGCGAGGGCAGGGGAAAGGTGACCTCCGCCGCTCTGTTGATTGCGTCTAGTCTGATGAATTTAGCAAGTGTGTAATTTTCTATATTCCATCTCATCAGAAGTGCATTATTACTAAAGAATGTTTTTATCTCTCTGTTATATATTTTTGGCTGTGTAAAATGCATCTGAGCCACTTCATCAGAAAATGGATTACAGCAATTTTGAACCAAATTTCATTAGCAATGCTGGCTGCCTTTTTTTTTTTCCTTTTTTTTTCCCTCATCCCCTGCCCAAAGTACATCTTTAGATATGGTAAAAATCATACCAGCAAGAAATCGCTTTAATTTAGATGCATTAGCAATGTACTTTCTGGAGGTATTTACTTAATTGTTTGCATAATGACACTATATTAGAATTTATAAGATAGACAATCAGCATATAAGTAAGAAAATGAATGTATTTATACAACTTTTCTTCTTCTCTGCACTTTTTCTGTAATGCACGTACAGGGGCAGTTCGAAGACTAGCTTTATCCCATGGGTCTGCTTTGCCATAGCTGATTTGTTTCTTGGGGTGAGCTGACTATGTAAGATTCCTGACACCACCCTTCCCACTTGCTCAGTTTCATTCTTTGGGAATGAGATGATGAAGTTCTTGAGTAAATCTCCTGTAGTTGGGGGGCTCAGGAAAGGGGGGATCAAAGATGATTTCATAGGTAAAACTTCAGGGTCAGCCTAATTGTTCAGTATGCATTTTATTTCAAGGTCAATATTTGACTTCCAAAGCACATGTTGACTTCGATGTGTTGTACAACATCAGTAGAAAACTGAGCATTGTTCTTAGACCTGAATGCAGGGAATGGTCGGCTGGTGGGTAGGCAGTCACCCCAACATATGCCTGAACACCCCTGAGACTGTGCTGAGCTTGCTGTCTTGATGCAAAACAGTGAAAGAAATGGTGAGAGGGAAACATTTGCAACAATCTCTGCTCTGTTTTCCCTGGCACTTTGATCAAGATGGAGATGCCTTACAGAACCTCTTGTGTGTCATCCACCAACCAGCCGTGTGTTTAAGCATCCAGCCCGGGGTCGTTTCTGACTTGTGGTTTGACCCAGAAAGAATTGGTTTGTGGTATGGCTTTCATCTCGCATACTGACTCTACAGTAATAATTGCTGAGAATTGAAAATAATTCAAAAGGATTATGAGGTAATTCTGCCGTGGTTGGGAGTATACTAGTTGTGGTGTTTGCAGTTTATAAGCAAAATGAAGGCATAGGAGGAGGTAAGAGTTTTTATTTGGCCAATTGATAGAGCTGGCAAAACCAGACGAGCTTTCAGGAGCACAAGCCCTTCTTCAGGTCATTCATTTAGGGCTCCTGTTGATGCTGGTACATGCTTAAGGGTAAGGAGCTGAAGCAGCTATCAGAAAGAATGCGTAGCGTTAAGTAAGCTTGATAGTTGATTTGATTTGATTTGAACCTACACAGGGTATTTATTAGTCAGAAGTGCCAGAGAGGAAAGAAGGGCATGGATGAAGCATCATGTCGAATTCAAGCCTCCTCAGAGGATAAAGAGGACAAGCATCCCATCTTCAGACCATTTTAATGTTGAATGGAGCATTTAATCTGATGTTACTTTGTTGTCTTTGTTTAATAGATCTTTTAATGATAAGGGAGAAGAAAAATACGGTTGAATTTTTTTTTTCCTTGCACAGCAGCTTAAAGACAGACTAAGTAGCTTCTTACTGTTTGTGCTTCTCAACTTTCAGCTGAACAAAGAGAATAAGACCTTGAAAAGAATTAGTATGCTTTATATGGCAAAACTGGGCCCAGAAATTATCACTGAAGAGATTAACATTGATGAGGATGATTCATCCACAGATACAGAAGCTAACTCTGGATCATGCAATTCTGTGCATTGTCAGCAGCAAATAAAAGGTGAGTGTTGTTGCTGAGCCTACACCACCATACAAGGCAGAAGTTGTCTAAAGAATGGCAGTATTGGTTTGGACCAGAGATCCATCTGACTCTGAGTTGTGCTTGTGAGAGTAGTCATCAAAGGATTTCCAGGAAAGACTGTAAGAAGATGGTGGTCTTGTGGTGGTGCTGAATGATGAATCTGGTGAATATACAGGCTACAAAGTAAGTTAGAATGCAATAGGAAAATGAGGTCTGCACAGTTAAGTGTTCAGTGTTACTGAGTCGGTAAAAGGAATATTTCTTTAGATCCTTAACAAAGTAAAAGTTAAGCAGAAGGACAAGGTCACCTTGGTATTGCTTTAACTGCAATGTCACTATTTCAAAAAAGACAGAACTCTCCATTTCTGTTTCCTTTATTTACCTTTATATTATAGAATCACAAAATGGTTTGGGTTGGAAGGGACCTTAAAGATCATCTAGTTCCAACCCCCCTGCCATGGGCAGGGACACCTTCCACTAGATCAGGTTGCTCAAAGCCTCATCAAGCCTGGCCTTGAACACTTCCAGGGATGGGGCATCCACAGCTTCTCTGGGCAACCTGTGCCAGTGCTTCACCACCCTTTCCGGGAAGAACTTCTTCCTGATATCTAATCTAAATCTCCCCACTTTTCAATTTAAACCCGTTACCCCTTGTCCTGTCACTACAGGCCCTTGTAAAAAGTTCATATGTTTCAACTTCATTCATATTCCAGAACTATTATCAAACAAGCAACTTAAAAAGGGATGGTTGTACTGGTAAAACAGCAAAGCTTGGGAAATGGAAATACATTGATAAGAGAAATCTGTGCTTTATTAAGAAATTTCTGATTCTTTTTTTGAAAGGCAATTCAAATTTTTGTAATCCAAAATCTGCCTACCTTTCTCATCTAACCCTGATGAAAAGTATCATGATTCTATATGTTATATCATAGTATCCATAAAAGGGGAATGTCCACATTCTGCAGTTGGTGACAGGGAGATGAAGTGGTTCACTTTAAACAAAAAAAAAAAAAAAAAAAGCTTTGACTTTTTTCTGATAGTAAGTTACAATAGCAATGTTGTCTAAGTACAGCTTTCCTAAACTGTCAGCCTGACCTTGTTAATTGTTTTCTGTTTGAATGCAGCAGCCTCAATTAAGCGGTACAAAGTATCACTGAGGAAAAAGAATGCGTGTTGTAAAAATACTTTAAAAATATCCCACCCAAGAAATAAGGTGTCATAGTACCCTTTTATAATACGCACTTTTCCATCCTCTAGATGCAGAAACAGAGGCAGAGAATGGTGTGATCCACACCATGCAACCCATCTGAATCTGAAATAAGTCTGGAGTTCCTTCTGTCTTTTATTGGAGAAAGATGTCAAGGATACATTTAAAGAGAGCAAAAACTCTGGCTGCAGATCAGAGAACGTGGTTAGGAGGGTAGCAGGGTCAAATGAGAGGAATATTTCAAGAGCTCTGATGTATATGCTTTCTGTCTTGATGAAGAAGTCATTAAAAAAGGAAATGTGGCATCTTGTAAAGGGTTTAGGCTTTGGCTTCTCTCTCTGGCCTTATTATTAAATGTTAATAACCTTACTTTTATAAGGGCTGAGTATTTTTAAAAGCACTGGCATCCCATTTGCTACAGGAGATGATATTCCATCCTAGTGCCTGGAGAGAAACGTGTGTGTGTGTATGGTAGCAGAGGGATCTGACAACACATACCAAGAGGCAGTGCTGGGGCTGTGTCCCTAGCCTAAGCCAAGCGGCGTGGCATTTATCTTCAGGGAAAAACCTGAAGCTACATCTTGGATTACCTGTGAAGTGAAAGGCCATATGCAATGAAAGATGTGTTTTCAAAATTCCCCTTAACGCTTTGTGGTGTTGCCCAGGGTGAAATCTGCCTGTCTGTGCATGTTTATGATTCCAAGCAGTTATGTTTTGTGCTGGGAACGTTGGAAGTCTCTTAGCCTTCTCACCATTCAACAAAATACTGGATGTTTCTTGGAATGATTCCTTCCCTCCCACCACTTTTCCGTAAGGATATACAAATAAGGTAGTACAATCTGAGGCTCTTTAATAAATGAGAGTTTTTTTAATCAAAGGGATTAAATTTTGCCCCTCAGATACCTTCCTCTATTTTTGCTATCTCATACGTTAGGGAAAGGTGATAGTAAAGCTGTAGTACTAATGAAAGTGTAGCGTTGTCTCAGAGGAGTACCTGAAATGCATTTATAGGTTTTGGGTTTTCTTTTTCTTTTTACCTGGCTTTTCACAAATCACAGAGTGGAAGGGGTTGGAAGAGACCTCTAGACATCATCTAGTCCAACCCCCCTGCCACAGCAGGATCCCCTAGAGTAGATCACACAGGAACAAGTCCTTCAGATATGACAAGAGCTGAAAACTCAACTGTGTTGGTCAAGCAGTTTAGTGCATACCCTGTATCTGAAAAGAAATATTTCTTGTGGACATTTATAAAGATTTAGTTTTATGGATACTCTTTCTTCTCTGTATGAGGTTGATATATGTATTGTAAGACCTGACTTAATCCAGTTACCATAAATTTCAGTGAGACCTTTTGTCCCATTAATTTCACTGAAAAGCACAAATCTATAAAGCAGACAATTTGGTTCAAGAACCTTTTGGGAAAACAAGTCTTTTTATTTACTTTAGTATGTGTGTGCCTTTAATTTGGAGGGAAATAAATCTGAGGCTCCTGAACTGGGAGGAGGGGGCTGGGGTTACATGTGAGACTTTCAAGATGTGAGACCAAACAGAATGACATGCTGCATGTCATCATCATCTGCAATTGATTAGCAACAATTTTCTCAACTCGTGGCTGCTATTCAGTGAACAGCAGTGCAATGAAATACTGGAAGCAGGTGGGGAATGAGAGCACTTACTGAAAGCTAATATATATCAATAAATCTATATTTTTGTGGTGTTTTTATGTTAACTTATACCTTGATATATTATGTATGCAAACTGATCTCCTGTTAAGAAGTGATTATAATCAAATGTTTTATTCCATTGTGAATTTAATTTCTTTCATATTTTGATAATTAAGGAACAAAAATTCTGAGGAGAAAATTACAAGCATTAGCTCTTCCATCAGTAAAGGTTATATTCTGGCTCTGTTCACATAATGTTACAAAGACTATAAATTGGCAGCTGTTCAGGACAATTTCTTCAGTGAAAACCTTCCAAGTATTAACTGCCTGTTGTTTTGTTTATTTCCCTTGTGACAAAAACTCATGATCCAAAAAGAATTGAAGTGCATTAATTTGTTTTAAAGGACGCCTATTAAAAATGGCTTTCTACTACCTCCGTACCAGAGTCTCTGTGATGTGACAGTCTCCTGAGTAGGACTGAGGATACTCTGTGGTGGCAGGATGGGCCCCGTTAGAGCAGGAAATGAATCATTCAGCATGCAAATAAAGCCGGCAGTACTGAATGAGGCAGCTTACCCCAGTGGGGTAAATCTGAAACCGTGGCCTAGTTGCAGAACTGTTACTTGACACTTACCCAAGTTCCTAAATTATTGAGGAAGTACTTTGAATACTGCTGGTGCTTCGTATGCAGTTCAGGTGTTTCGTGCTTTATTGTACTTGCATCGCCATGACATTTCCTTTGTTGTTTTCATCCAAGAATAAAACATATTTTTCATTTCTTTCCTCAAACTGTAGAGCTGCGAGATCAAATCATAGCTGTTCATGAGGAAAAGAAGACCTTAGCCATTGAACTGGAAAACCTGAGGTGCAAACTTGTAGAAGTAATTGAAGAAGTATGTATTGTACCATGGAAGGCGAGACCACGTTAGTGTGTAGTCAGTACTTTTTGTATCTAATTTTGCTAAAAACGCTCAGTTGTGAAGTTAATTGAATACTGTCTAATCGCATGTCCTGCCAGCCTGCCCATACTGTGGGCCGCTTAGGACATATGCCTAGGAGGGGCCTTCTACGTCAGAGCCCCGTCTGCTGTTGCTGGCACATGACTTTTCATGGTCTGTTCTAATGCCCATATTATAACTCTCATCTCCACTTCCTGACAGCCCCTCACCCGTCACAGTCTACAGGACTTTTTTTGATTTCCTTGAACCTGTGAATGTGCAAGAAATACTTCTGGAGAATGTCCAGTTTAATCACTGGTGCTACTTCATTGAGCATATCCATGAGTTTGGCCATTGGCAGTGCCCTGTCATGGTAATTAGACCAGCAAATTGGCTTTTTGAGCCAGCAGAGTTTAAAACTGGATAAGCCATGTACTGATGCAAATCAGGACTTAGTGGCTCTTCCTGTCTATGCAACGCTTGCATTCAGAAAGACACAGCTGACAGCTCTTGGACAATAACCAGAGCCCAGGAAAAAAAAGGGAAAACAGCAGTCTGGCTATATTAAAATGCAAACAGTCAAGGGCAAGCTAGTAACTCTTCAAGCAGGTGCTGTGGCGCCTTGTCTTGAAAGGTTCCAAGGATGTTACATTTGCAGCTGTGACTGGTACGTGTTTTGAGGATGGGCCACAGGAGCCCCAGGTGATGGACTAGTTGATAACCCTTTAATGCCGTCTGTTACGGGGTCTGTAAGTTGTGGTAACTGCTTCTCATCCCACTGGGAGCCCTAAGATCAAACCTAAGAAACAGAATTACTGAACGAAAACATTGCTTGCTTTATGTGTTGTTATATGCCTTATGTCACTAACTAAAATACTCTTATTTTTGATCTTTTCTAGGTGAATAAAGTGAAAGAAGAGAAGGCCGTTTTGACAACAGAAGTTAGTAAGCAGCAAAAACTGCTGGAGAAATGCAACAGAGGTGTGTGGTCTCAGCAGGTTCTCTAACAGTTTGCTATATCCTTTGCAGAAGTTTCAGAGCTTTTATGCTGTAGTACAAAGAGTAGGTTACAGAACAGCGGCTGTGGTCCAGATCTGACATGGCCTTATTGCTGCAGGCACTGCATAAACACATGGACTGTTCCAGACTGTCTGTAGTCTAGGAAAATGTGACAGTGCAAATAGGAGGTTGCATGTGAGAATAGGAAAAGTTACTGCTTTGTGGCACAACTGGCAAGCTGGGACAAGAAGGCAGTCCTTCACAGAGTTTGAGCCTTAATCTCCTTGATGTAAATCATTACATCACCTTCCTTTTAGCTGGGAGACAGCTAATAATTCTCAATACCTTGTGAGCAACTTGTACGTTCACAAGATGATGGGAAAAATGCGAGTGCTGGAAATGAGATAAAAAGCATTTCCAGGTTATGGAAGGAAGGCAGACACTATCCTTTACTGGGAAGAGATGAGAGGTAAAATCAGGGCAGGGAAAGTCTAGAAAGAGGTCGGGCTCCTTTTCCTTAATGGAGGTGAGTGCTTCAACATGAGAAGTAGTTGACCCAAAAGTAATTCTGAGGGGAGGTTAGAGACTTTAGTGCCTTGCATTACTGTGCCCTTTTCTCCTGTTGGTTATTTAGTCTTGTAAAGTTAAAAACTGTTTGGTTAAAAGTGTCCTTGGCCATTTCACATTTTCCTGAAATGGAAGACAATGGGTCTGGCCTGTAATGCCTGTCGGTCTTGACGCATTACTTTTTCAACCTACCAAAGGCACTCAGGTATGTCTTCAGCAGCACCTTAACAATACATCCTGGAGGTCCTCAGCCGCACTCCCAGTTTCTGATTTCTCTTCAAGTTGTTCCTCTGCAGCTGTGTCTTGCTTATCTAGGGAGGAAAAAATACAAATCTCTTAAGACCCTCCCAGGAATCCTGAAACGTTTGCTAGCCAGAGAATGGAACATCCAGGGCTGCTGCTTTCGCACGGAAGGGCCTGTGGAAATAGCTTCAGGAAAACAGTGGAAGTAGAGAAGAAAAGTGCAGTCTTTGGTATAAGGAAGACTCCAATCATGCCATGGCCTTCTGCCAATAATATTCTCTTTTTCTTTAGAAAACTTACACAAAATCAGTCCATGTTTTCAAGGAAACAGCTGAGTTTTGAATTATGGAGACATGTATGAACTTTTAGTGGGAAGTTATTTTCTCTGTTTTTCCTTTTCTGTCCAGTGGGACAGTGCCTTACCTTAACACCAAACTTTGGATAGGTTGATGAGAGAGACCAGCTTGAAGAAGGTTTTGATGGGGTAGTGTGGCAGATCAAATGTTTCTGAAATGTTTTCTTTCTTTATAAGCACAATCAAAAAAAGAACAACCCCTTGTTTCCCATTTCCCTGTTTTCCAGGAAGGAGGAGTTATACCAGCTTAGGTCCTAATGCACAGGCAGCATAAAGCAAGATTTTTTTGTATGCCTGAAATGAGCTACCAGAGTATCTCTGCAATACCTGCTGTATCTTATGTCTAAGTGGTACTGTCTTGGGGCTGTGTGATCAACGTGTTTCAGTCAGAGTCAGTGAATTTACCTTGCATCTTTCTAGTGTGTTGGTTGTTTAGGGTTTCTTTGTTGTTGGTTGTTTTTGTTTTGGTTTTTTTTTAAGTTAACATAACTTTGAGGGTCAGGTGGTCTGGGATGTGGATCCCACTCTCTGAAGTACTGCTCGCTGTATGTAGCTTTAAAAAACATTATGCTTGTCTCCAAAGAAGCAAGGAACTTATGTAGGACAGTGTTAGAAATCCAGTGTCATCCTGCAAACTAGCCTTCAGCCAGTAAGAGCTAAAGCTTAAGTGAGTGTTCACTGAGACATGATAAACATAAATGATACTTGGGTACGTGATGATGTAAATGATGCTTGGTGTCCTGGATTGAGGCCTGCTCAGAATGGTTTGGGGAAGCAGGCCCCATGGTTAGCTTTAGCCACCCATATAAGCCTGGCTTTTGGGAGCATAATTTAAATATGGGCAATGCAAAATTGCACTGTTTTCTTGAGGCTCCTTTAAATCTCTGTTGTAAAGGGACCCATGAAACCTCACTCCAACCAGGCAGGCAAATACAGGTGCCTCCAAAATAACATAGTAATCTTTGATAGGTTCAGCACGGCTCTCTTGAGGCATTGATTGCTTGCACCCAAAGAGACGAATAACAGTCTATGCTACTTGTTACTGGAGTTTTGGGTCTGGGAGGGAGAAGTATTACTCTGTTCAGAAGATCAGTAATTGTGCGTTTTTATATAGTGAGACTTAGAGAAAACAGAACAAATATTGCACAGGGGACCATATGTGGAAATGTAAAGCTAAGTTATACCTTCATTCAGGGATTCATGATGGTGTGGAATAACAGCTTATCTGGGTAAATCAAGCAGTGCTTTCACCTTATTTTGATCCATTCCACTTTTGCTTCTGATCTTGTTTTATTCTTATGAACAGTGTCTGTTCTGGCAGTAGAGGAATATGAAGAGCTTCATGTAAACTTTGAACTGGAAAAGAACCTGCGGAAGAAAGCGGAGTCATTTGCACAAGAGGTGAGTACTCAAGAAAGAGGGGTTTTGTAAAATGAAGACATTGCAGCTGATCAAAAACCTACAAGCTTAGATGACTTGATTTCAGTTCCCAGCTCTGGTACAAAAGATGTCTTTGAATGTCCACATACTACTTCGCCAGCATCTGTACTTTATCCGTAAAATGAGTTTACTCTTTCAGTAGCATGTATAAAGCATTTCAGAATGATCCATGCAATCTTACCTCTTTCCTCTTTTAAAGTGAGGCTTTAAATTCGTAATGGGCTTAGTCAGCCCCGATGTTTCAGTGTGGTATATGTGGTGGTTGAGTCTGGGAAGGAGTAGCTGCCCTTCTAGTGACATAATTTTGAAGCACTGTGTTTTTACTGAAAAAGAAGTGTTACAAAATAGGATATCAGTTGAGATTTGTGCTATTTAACATACACGTTTTGAATAACCTAGTGCGGGGAGCATGCAAGCTGAAAAAAAGTGTTTCCATGTTCCAGAAATGGTATAAACACCCAAAGAGGAAAATGAGTTATTGGGTAACATTATAGAATGGCTGGTGGTTGCTCTGATGGCTTGTGACTGGGAATGTTTGCCTTAGAAAATGCTAACAAACTGTTTCATTCTGTTGATGGACTGAAGCCCTATAAAATCATGAGTTTGTGTTTGGTTTGGTTTGGTTTTTTCTCATGTGCTTTTTCTGTTTGCACTCTGGATTTTGAGAGCTCTGTGCTTGTGTTACATTTTTGAGCTCTTCTGTCCAAAGCTATGCATCAGTATTTTCTTTAATAAAATTTGGGCTTCCCAAGTAATCATTTTTCAGGGGGCTCAGGTTTAAAGAAAGCCATTATATGTCAAAATTACCTGAGTCATCAGTATGTACTGCAATACTGTAAATAAGGGAAACATCTGATACGAAGTGGATTTTAGATTTTGAAAGCAGGGCTCCCAGCAAGCAGGTATTTGGCCTTCCGGAGGTCAGCTTTGTCCGAGTTGAGAGCTCTCTTGCTTTTTGTCTTTGCTGCTGTTTCTCTCTCTCTCAAAAAAAGAAGAAATATATTGGATAAATCCTGCACATCCAGCTGCATTCAGTCGGTGATTGCAAGCGAGGGCATATAGGCATTTTGAGCTTGTATGGAGAACAGTGAAGTGGCTTACTGCATTCTGTTAGTCTTGTGGGGTTTTTGCTGGGTGTTTGAGTGTTTTGGATATGAGCAGAATCATATAGCAACATTTTAAACAAAATAAATTTTGAGTGGTTTGAGATAAACTGTAAAGTAATTTGAAAATCTGGAAGCTAGGGGTGAAGAACCTGACCCTGCTGTTGCTTGCACTCGCACTCTCACGCCTGAAAGCTCTTTCTCTGGGCCCTCTACAAAGGTTGGAGAACTTCAGGGCACCTGGGCCAAGGGGACTGGTTCTTTCTCCTCATTCCACCTTTTGCCACTCTTTTCTGTTCTTTCCTTTGCAAGGTCACCCCGTTGACCCTTTGGGAAACCCATTGAAGGAGATAACTTGGCAGAAACTATTAACTTCTAGGTACAGATCGATTCCTCTTTCTGTTAATAGGAAAATTTGCATTTGGGTAACAGGGTTGGGTGCTCCCCCTAAAGGAGAAAGGTATTTGCAAATTCAGCTATATTAAGCTTTGGCAGATTCTCTTTCATTCAGGTATATGGTATAACCTAGCTTTAGGTTATCAGTTCCACTACTGAAGCTTCAATCATTCGATGAGTCAGTGTGTAATTGAAGTAAATTTGAATTTATGTAACTTGTATATATACACATACCTGCAGTCTCCTGCCTCTTGTCAGTATCTCTGCCACGTGTTGAAAATGTAACTATACTTAAGGCAAAGCTAAAGCAGCTGACATGTTCTACTCCCACCCCCCAGGGAATAAGAAATGGTAGAAATGAAAATTATTTACTAATCATTAAAATGTCCTGTTAACTCCCAAATTTTAAGTATGGAGATGGGCTTTTCAGGATGCTGCTAAAGTCAAGAGATATGGGAGAGAAATCACTCGAGGAGTGATTTCTGAAATCAGAGGTTGCACATGCAGCCTCCTCCAAACTCCACTTTTACAGAGCTTTGTGGGATGGAGCCCAAATTCCTCTCCTGAGCAGAACTGGGCACCTCCCTTTGCCGTGGCTTCACTGTCATTTTGATCAAAAGCTTACTGTGGTTTTTCAGAAATAAAAGTGAGATCTACAAATTCCATTTGAATATATTAAAGACAGAGGCATTTATTAGTGACCAAAAGGTGTTAAACAAAATACTGCCTATGTTTAGAAAGTATTAATTTGGTGTTTTTTCAATTCTATTACCAGTCTGTGTTATAACATACATAACTTCATGCAACTATTTTCAAATGTTAGGAAATCTCAGTTTGTTCATTACCAATACTTTTATGTTACTTTTATAACACAACTTTTTTAAAACCTTCTGAGATGTGCAGGCATTATTGTTTTATTGATGGTACCATTGACTGTAATATCTGCCAAACTTATTTTCAGAAATCTGATTTCTAAGCATGTTAAGCATGTTCATTTAGCATGCATTATTGCAGTATGTGTCCTGCATCTCCTACTACTGCTTTGTTTTATCTTCCAAAATACAGAACAATTATGTTCTTCTGTTCATTACCTGACAACAGAAGATGGTATGGAAAGGTCTTACCAATTCTCAGGAATGAGTAATTTACAAGTGTGCAGCTAAGCTGCTTTTCAGATCATAAGAGAGTGTAGTCTGATACTCTGGGCCCAGAATCTTGCTTTTGTTTAGATTCATAACTCCCATACTCAGACACCTATGCATTTTGAAAGACGATATTTAACGAATACTTTTTGTATTTGAATACCAAACTGACAAGCAAACTGTTAAGTACAATGCCAAAGAAATGCTGATTATTTGCAAACAAGTGCTTCTTGGGTTTAGTCATTATTTAGTAGTTGTCTCTTCTGAAAATGTGGGCCCCTGTTGCAGATCGACAGCGTATCTTTTCTGGTGAGGCTTTGCATTCCATGAGGTTCTCCAGTCCAAAACAGAGTTGTTGCAGCAGTGAGCTTCAGGCCTGCCTTAGTCTTCCTTTTGTGTACCTACTTCTCTGCCTTTTGTAGCGTGTTCTTCAGAAGGACTTTCGGAACGTTTTTTAAAACACAGGAGCGTGTGACATCAAAGGCAACAAATGCTCAGTTGTGTCTGGGGAACTTGTTGCATTTCAGAGTGCCTTAAAATTGTGTTATCACTGGCCTGGTTTCACACTGATGGTGTCCCTTCAGTGACCTGGGACGTCGGAGGGGCAGGTCTGGCCCACCACTGCACCCACAACAGTGAAGCTTTGTGCTCGGGGGAGGTTGTATGAGCGTCCTCTCGCATGGATCATCCCGCAGGGTTGCAGCTGTGTTTGGAGAGCTGAGGTTTCTAGAATGTGCTCACAGGAGCTCTTCGGACTACGGTGAGAATGTGCAGGGATTTCCTGCTTTTTTTCATCAGCCACATTTTTCTCCATTCTTGTATAATGTTTCTTGAAAAAACCAAAAGATCTTGCTGGATTTTCGCTTGAGTGTGGCGGAAGCCCCAGCAGTTGGTTGTGATAAGCTGTGCAGCCTTGAGAGGAGGAATAGCTTTGAGTAAAGGCAACGCTGCATGGTCAGTGCTTTGTGCTTGGCTTGTTTGGAGCACTTGGAGAAAGGAACCAGGCTCCGGGTAACGTGGGTGTCACCACGGCATAGACTTCAGAGCAGCACGCTTTTCTGTTTCGTATTGCTGTCTGTGACATCTTAAACAGCCTAGATGTGTCTTTTAGCTGACTTACGTGGACTTAACTGCCTGTGAAGGGCCTTGCTTTCTGGTGGACACGTTGTCTTTCTAAGGGGCCAAGGGATCTGAAGCTTGCTGTGACGGGGGAAGTTGGCCCAGGTATTTAGATGAACTCCTTTCTCGAGAGCGTGGCTTCATCTTTTAGCTTTGCCCTCCTGGGGTTGCACTGTGGTTGCGATGGGAGGAGACCAGATGAGTGACTGGTCTTCAAAGTGATTCCCTTTGCATCCTGCCCTTCTGACAAGGGAGGAGGATTTGCCACAGGACGTGCACAATTGGGAGTGCAGGTGTGAGAGATAATGGGTGGGTGAGCGTGTGTGCAGAAGCGAACACAGATGGGGGGAGAGGCAAGAAAAGGAGCGAGAGAGGGAGGGAGCAGGCACATATAGGAGTGAGCGAACACTTGAAAATCAGAGCTTTTGATTAAAAAAAAAAATCCAATACAGCTTTAATTATAGTCATGCTGCTGGCACCACCATAATATATATTTAATTAATCAAAAATGATCCAACTTCAAACATTAGAATTCGTGCTCTTTAGAGGTTCTAAAGAAACTGAGTAAATATTGTCAGCCGTGGTGTGGAGAGGGGGAAGGAAAAAGAAAGAGGGTTTGAAGTGAGTCACAATCCATTGTGAAAGGTACAGGAATCTGCATAAAAGAACTAAATAAATAGAGTGTGTAAGGGGCGGGGGCATGGAAAAATCTGTACCTACCTGAATAAAACAGGGTTGTTAACACAGGAATCTTGGCAAGCTTAACCAGAATTCTAGTGTAATGTTTTAAGAGACACTTTAAGATCTCTCAGCTCTTTGTGGAGCAGTTTATAAGAAAACAAAGGAAGGCAGAGAGTATCTTGAAGGCCATCGCAATAATATAGAGGCTAGCCCTGAAAAACATTCTTCCACAAAGATGAGCAAAATACAATGCATACAGCCAAAGCAAGCCAAAAGGGGAGGAACAGTGAGAGAAGCAAATTGAAAGTCTTAGCGATGTAAAAATCCCGGGAGTTTAACAAAATAATCTGGCATAAATGGTTTATTAAGCATACATCCTGTCTTGCAACAATATTTTGTAAAGTGAACAGTTTATTACTGTCGTGTGTGCTGGCATGGAGACAACCCCTGCACCTAAAGTTACTCAGGAAACCTCCTGGAGAAGAGGCAGCTGCTCCCAAAGTTAGCATTGAGGTGTTGA